CATTGACATTACTGGAAGCTTGTTAGAAATGCAGAATTTCTGGTCCCATCCCAGTTCCACTGGATCAGAATCAGCATTTTAATGAGCCCCCCTGTTCATACATATGCATGTCACCATCTGAGGATCACTGGTCTAACTCACAATGTCTCTTACTTCTAATCCCCAGATCTCTGATCTCTGCTCTTTAATGATCTTTATTACCTGAGGGATGGATGTTTCTAGCAGGGAATACAAAACGCTTGCAATGAAATGGAAGCAGACTTTACCATCACCTGGCCACTTCAAGCTACTCATGCTACTAGGAAATAGATAATAAAGGGATTACAGGCTTTGATGGGGCAACTGAACCTGATTACCAAGGGAGACTAGGGCAGCTGCTACATAGGCAGCAGGAAGGAGGTTAGATAGAAACTGAGTGCTAGGGTGACCTCCTAGCACTATCTTGTTCAGAGGTGAAAGTCAGCAGATCATTATGACAATCCTACTGAGGCAAGATTGCAAAGGCTGAGACTCTAAGGAATGAAGATTCGGGCCACTCCACTGCATAAGGAACCTCACTCACTAAAGCCCCAACTAAAGGCTAAGGGAGCATGAGCTGAGTGGTAAAAAAGAGGGAAGTATTAGGAAAACCTGGAAAAGAACGGGTGTCCTGGAATGCCCAGGGTCTAGCTCATACTTTTGAATTATCTTGATTCTGTAGGTATCTTCTTTTTAAATGTCTTTGAGCTATTTTACAGCTTTACAGATTATAGAAAACTGATTTCAATGAAACCGGATTTCTCCATAGGAGTGCAAATGATTTTTACCTAGTGGAGGTACAACTGAACTCTTCATCTCAGTCTTCCAAGAAATGTGTATAATATCAATGAACAAATTCAACATTTCTGATTGCCTAAATATGTCTGTTATTCGCAGTCTTCTTTCAATTATTATTAATACCTTACTGGTTCTCTCATTAATTAATGAGTTAAGTAGAATCTTCAGCGTGTCTTTATTTTTATTTATATAAAAGTCATGATTTTACCCTTTTGAAATTGTCTTTTCTTTTTTTTTGGTGGAACTGGGCCAAAAAACTCAGGGCCTCATGCTTGCTAGGCAGGCACTCTACCACATGAGTCACTCCGTGAGGCCCTTAGAATTAAAATTATCTTTTTTTAACAAAAGATATAAATACTGCAATGAACACATAACCACTTTCATGAATAGAGAATGTAGCTTCTATCTATATTTTCTTTCTTTCTGTGTTATGTATAACTTAAATATCTTAACTAGTTAGATTTTAGTTAATTCTCTCCCCCAGTATAGTATGTGGGTTACACCACATGTATGGGTGATGGTTTGCTGGATAATTTAGTGTTTAGAGTATTGAATACTAAAGTTCGATCCTATCAGAAGCAGAAAAGGACTTTGCCCAGAAATACTGAACCTAGGGTAGCACTTGGCAAATGAAGAAACTTGGATTTAACAAATGAGTGAGTTCTATAGAATTCTTGTTGGAAGGTTGTTTTTAAAGCTAAAATATGGGTAAAGGCTTTACATGGTAGATGTGGCTGTTGGACAGCCAAAGAAGTAACTACAATAGCTATTCTATTGTTTTTTTTTTGACCAGCCAGTATCCAAAGCCTGCTAAACTGGGAGGAATCTCCCTGCATGAAGGTGTTTGTGGGAGACTAGGCTTGTTATCTGGGTTTTGAAAAATCAGATGCTCTTATTCAGGACTTTAAGTCTTCAGGTACAGGTGGCTGGCAGCCAGTGTCTGTGGTGATGACATGACCAGGAGCTTCCCAAGCAAACCCTTCTTGTGGCATCAGCTGGGCTGTTACCACCACTCAGCTTTCTTAGATCTTCCCCAAATTCTTTCTCCAGCCTGCTAGTTAATTCTAAGATTCCCTATAAATTGCTTTCTGCTTAAGTGCTCATCCAAAAGCCTTGATTAGTGCATACATTTGGAAAGGTATAAGAATCTATGAAGCTGGGTACCAGTGGCTCACGCCTGTAATCCTAGCTACTCAGGAGGCAGAGATCAGGAGAATTGAGGTTCAAAGCCAGCCAAGGGAAATAGTTCATGAGACCCTATCTCGAAAAAAACCATCACAAAAATAGGGCTGGTGGAGTAGCTCAAGGTGTAGGCCCTGAGTTCAAATCCCAGTACCACAAAAAAACAAATAAAAGGCTTGTGGATGCTATATGGAAAATATGTTGGAAAATGAGGGTTGGGAGACAGGGGAGCCAGTCAGGAGGTGTGGTAGGCAGAATTATGGCTCCTCAAGGATGTCCATGTTCTAATCTCCACATAGAAAATGATACTTTTCAGAGTCATTAAGTTAAGGACATTCATATGGGAAGATTATCCTGTGCCCAGTGTCATTGTGTGCATCCTTAAAAGAGGAGAACCATTCCCAGCTAGGCCAGGGAGAAGTGACAGTGGAAGAATTCTGAGAGATGCAGCATTGATGGCTCTGACGCAGGAAGAAGGGTCACAAGTCAAGGCTCTAGGAGCCGGGAGAGGCAGGGAAATGGACTCTCCTCCAGAGCCTCCTAGGAAATGCAGCCTTGTCTGATATAAACCCAGTGAGACCTGGAAGGCTTCTGACTTCCAGAACCACAAGATAATAAATGTGTTGTTTTATGCCACAAAGTTCAGGATAATTTGTTACAGTGAAGATAAAAAAAGAATCCATGAGGCTATTGATTGTTTTAGAGTGGCAGCAGATAAGAAAGAGAGACCTGATTTGAAAGATTATGAAGGTGGGGGGCAGGCACAGTGGCTCACACCTGTAATCCCAGTTACACAAGAGGTATAGGTAGAAGGATTGAGGTTCAGGTCCGCCCAGGCAAAAAGCACAAGACCCTATCTGAAAAACAATTAAAAACAAAAAGGACTGGGAGTGTGGCTCAAGTGGTAGGGCACTTTGCCTAGCAAGCACAGGGCCCTGAGTTCAAATCCTAGTGTTGGGAAAAAAAAACAAAGAAGAGGGGAGGGGGGAGGTGGCCCAAATAATGAATACACATGTAAGTAAATGTAAAAATAATAAAATAAAATTTAAAAAAAAGACAGACGAAGAGATGAAGGAGTAGTCACCAACCAAGAGTGTGGATGGAGTTCAATGATGAGGGAGAAGAAAGAGTCAAAGGAAAGTCCCAAGTTCCTCTCTTGGACAGTTGGGGATATTAGTCAAAAGGACAAGAAGAAAACAAGGGTGTACGTGTGAGTGTGTATGAAGTGAGTGAGTGCCTGTGTGAGTGAGTGCATGTGTGAATGTGGGTATTTGAGTATTGTGACAGTGAGTGTGTGTGTGACAGTGCATGTGTGCCCCAGAGTAATTTTGGGAGTGTGTGAGAGTGTGAGTGTGAGTACAGAGAAAAGAGGCAGGTCTCTCCTGAGACCACTCAGCTCCTTACTACTCCTTCCTCCTTAGCTCCATTTGTACCCAGAAACCTTCTATGAAACCCTCAAGCTTTCCGCCAGAGAAAAGGGTGTGCTCAGCAGCCAACACAAGCAGCTGCTCCGCTTGGCGGTTACCGTTTTCACTCTAAAATAATGAATTGCCAACTAGTCATAAACCAGGCTCCTGTGGACTAGTCAGTGAAAAGCAATTTACCAGAGTTTGATCTGTCCCAGCTGAGTTGAGAGGATTTTCTGTCCCTACAAAGCAGGACAGAACTTGCATGGTGGTGACCCCAGGAAGGCCTCCCTCTACGGCACTGAGCCATGGGGAGGAAGGGGTTGGGAGACAGAGGGCTGGAAGAGGCTGCCTAACACTTTACCCTGGGCCAAGTCAATTGAAACCAGGAGGCTCTGTGCTTGCAACTTTCCAGCTATTTATAGTGTGCACATGGATGCCCTCACGAATACCAGCCAGCCTCCAGGGCAGAAACCACCCCCTCTGGGGCCCCTGCCTCAGAGCAACAAACTGCAAGTAGTTATGGGAAACTGGGAGACTGTGGGCTTTGTTCTGGTTGCAGTTAATCTTGAAGTTTCTGGTGTCATAAAGACTTCTTGGGATAGCGTAGAAAATAATGACTTTCCAAGCCCACTCTGAATTATTTCTTTACCTACTTGGCAAGTGCCATCTGACTAAAAGAGGGCGGGATTATTGCTATCCACCTCACTGTTCAGTTGAGGATGCTGAGGGTCTTGGAAGCTTTGGTTACTTGTTCAGGATGGCACCAATCAAATATCAGAGCCAGGGCTTGACCTCAGCCTCTGTAAGTCCAAATTCACATTCTTTGCACTTTGACCCAAGTTAGTGTCCTATCTGGGAAGGGTCACCATTCTCTCATCACCCATCACCTGTCTTTGTCAATAAGGGGTTGCTTAACCCCTGAATAATCAGCAGTTCTCCTGCTGAAGGTACCCAGTACATTCAGGAATGGTGCCAGGGCTGGGGCACCCAAATCATCCAACTGTAATGAATATAATCCTCCAACCAGTGAATCTTTCCAATCCATTCCTTCCCATGTGCTCAGTCCTCTGCTAGGTACTGCAAGAAATGGGTAGAGGATGATCAACAGCCCCTGCTTTCAAACACCTTATATAACTGCAGGGCTTAAATTGTGGGGGCTGGAAGCATAGACTGAAACAGGGTTGGAGTTGCAGAGCCAGGAGAAAACCTAGCTCTGCTGGACTGGAAGACCTATGCACTTGCTGTCATGCCAAGCTGTCTCCCAGGGATGGCACTGTATGGTCTACAGAATGTTTTTCAGACAAGGAAGCTGAGGCTGAGGAAAGCAAGTCTCTCACGTCATGTCATAGAGCAGGGGCCTCCGATTCCATGTGACATTTCCTCTCCCTGCACCTCTCTACTTCCCTCACTTCAACAACAAAGTCTACACAGGGAACAGGTCTAGACCAGACAGGACTCCTGAGAAGTCTCATAAGAAAAGTGATGACTGCCTGTTACCAGTGCCCACACCAAGGAGAACATCCACCTTCTGCCACCCAGCTGCAGCCACCTCACCCCCTCAGCCACCCCTCCAAAATAACTGGCTCTACTTACATATTCTTTAATGTCCTTCGACTTCACAGCCTTGTAGGAATAATATGCAGGGTAAAGGGTGCCAAATATAAGCCTGCAGAGAAGAGAGAGGAAAAAGGAGAAATGTGATTTTCATTCATCCTGTTTGATAGACAATGTCTGTCTCCGAGGCCAGGAGCAGTCATCCAGACTATGGAAAGTGCTGCTGTGGGCTGATTTATTTTTATGACGGTCCTGAAGGTTTCCTGCTCACAGCTGGGTTGTCCCTGGGAACCCCACCTACCTCCCACACCCACTTCCTTCAGCCTGTGGTTTGGCAACATGAAAGGGTGGTTCGGGGTCATGGAAGCCATGATTGGGAGGGGGCAGGCCAGGTGAGCCATTAAGACCCCTGAAATGAAAGGGAGAGTTCCTCTCCCCCTGCTGATCCCATCGGAGCCCCACAAAGCCTTCCCATCCAGCATCTGACAGACAGAAAATGCTTTTTCAATTGTAAATTTAATCAGGTCAATCTCGCTTCCCAGCCTGCATTAACCTACTTTTCACTGCTCTTAAGATGCAGAGGGAACATCAATCACAACACGGTGACAATTTGGGTATCAGCCCTCACTGATTTATACTCAGGGCTGCGCAGAATCAGTACAAAATTTGACTCCAGCCCAGCCTCTAAGGACCTGCATGGCGTAACTCTGCCTGCTCTCATTCGCTGCCCCTTGCCTTTGTCCAGGCTTTTGTCTTCCCTTCTTTGTTTGGTTAACACCTGTTCGTTCATCCATCAGATGAACTCCCACATGGTTTCATACAAGCCTTCTCTGCCCTCCCAGACTAGGTCAAATCTCCTGGCTATACCGTCACAGCATGGTGTGCACATTATCAAGTATCCTCTTACCACTGTGTGATGCTTTGACTGACACATCTCTCCCGTGGTCTGTAAGTGTTCTGAGGGCAGAGAATGGCCATCTACTCGCTCAGCATGGTGCTCCCACCTACCACATAGCAGGCTATTGATAGATGTTTGTGGATGAGTGAGTGAATGAATAGAATGTTGGACCTAGAAGGGCTTAATCCTTTTGCCCTGCTGACAAGGTCACTCCTGATATCATCCCAGGTACAAGCTGATTAGGTACAGAAGCCCAGACCTCACAGGAGCCAGAATTTCCTGAGACAATCCCACAGACAGAGTTTTGGGGTCCCTGCAAGGAGCCTGCCTGGTTAGAGAAGATATCACACTGACGAGGCCCAAAGCCAAGGCACATTCGGTATTTAGTCCTACGGAGGACTCCCAGGACAGATGCAAGTTACCAAGCAGAGGGCAGCTTTACCACAAGCACTGTCGCTGGGGAACAGCAGGTTTCCGTGGAGAAACAGAAAGTTAACTGATGGGTTGGTGGAGTGGCTCAACAGTAATTAAGTAACAATTAACTAACCAAAAACCAAATTGGTTTCTGACCCTGAAGGGGAAAGGGTGTGTGTGTGTGTGTGTGTGTGTGTGTGTGTGTGTGTGTGTGTGTGTGTGTGTGTGTGTGTGTGTGTGTGTGTGTCGCAAACTCCTTACTCACACAGGCCTTGAGCTAATCACTTAGACTGCTCTAGCCAAAGGGGTCCCTTATTCAGATAAGGCCCCAATGTTCAGAGCCATTAGCCGCTGCTAACTAAGGTTTCATGACTGGTAAGGGGTAAAGTTGAGGCTGGACCAGCCAGGCTGGCCTCTCCAAGCTTCGCTTCCTGTTACCATTGTCCACTGCCTTGGAGAGTAAGGCTATCTTATAGAAAGGCCTTGTAGATAAGGCTATCTTCTAGCAAGGCTTATCTAATCTGCATGAGGAGCAAGATAAGCCAGCAAAGGGGACAAGAGGGAGGAACTTTAAGAAAGAAGGCCACAGGTTATGTGGGATTTAGTCACAGGCCACCTTAGTAAGAAAGGGCTCCTTAGCTTCTCCACCCCATCTCTTAGCCCCACCCCTAAGCGTTCTCAGATATCAGGGGAGACTTCCTTTCTGGGGAAGGCCTCTTCTTAGCTCATCACAGATCAGGTTCCTTTTCCTGTTTTAAATTGTCACAGCTCCCTGAACTTTCCTTGCTTGGCCCTTATCCATGACACTTAGATGATCTGTTCAGTGTCTGTTTCTCCCACAATACGGCAAATTCCTCTAATCCAGGATTGGTGTCTGCTCATTTGTTACTACACCCCCTGTTCCTAGGATGGTAGGAAGTACCCAATAAGTGCGTGTTCACTGCATGAAGTTTCAGAGAATTGAGATGCCAAAGTCAGCACCACCAAGGGGACACTCATGACCTTGGGACTGAGGATTGGACAGTGAGGTGGATTCCAGACAGCACCCGGCTGAATCAGCAAAGCCTCGGGCACAATGCCATCGACTCCAGGGAAGTAAACACACAGCTACTCAGGCACAGATGCTCTGGTTATTATCCACAACTGCCAGGCTGGTTTCTGGCCCTGCCAGAGGCAACACATTTAAGCAGGGCAAGATGGATCCAGAAACTGATTGATTGGTGCCTCTGTGAATTCTGATGAGCTGTGACATCCTGAGTGGTCACAGAGCAGGGAAGCGTCCGGGCACTCACACAGGGAGGCTTGGGTTCAGTCTGCTGGACTCTTCTGATGTGAATTTGTTGCCAGCACCCCCTGCCTGGGTTCTGACAACACAGGATCCCACCACAGACAAATTTGCATTTTGGTCTCTAAGAGCTCAATAACTCTTAACATTTCACTTCCCCAGGATGGAGACAGGATTAAAATGGCCAATTCGTGTGTGTGTGTGTGGGGGGGGCGGGGTACTGGGGTTTGAACTCAGGGCCGACACCTTGAGCCACCCACCAGCCCTTTATTATGATTTTTTTTCCCATCAACTATTTGTCTGGGCTGGCTTTGAACCTCGATCTTCCTGATACCTGCCTCCCAAGTAGCCAGGATTACAGTTGTGAAACACCGGCACCCTACTACAACGAGCAATTCCTAATCTACTTTGGAGAAAAGAAATAATGAAAGAAGCAGGCCAAAGCCAAAAGGGGTCAGGTACTTAGGTCTTTCAAAGCTGATGATGAGATATTTTTAAGGGGATTTTTTTGGGGGGGTCCTGGGATAGAGCCCAGGGCCTTTTGCATACCAGGCAAGGACTCTACCACTGAACTACATCCCCAGCCCCTTCCGTTCAGACCACATGCCCCACGTGCTTGCCTTCCCAGCCTCAGGGTCACCCCCTCTTAGCTTCAGATCACAGAGCTAGCAGCTGGCCTCTGGTGGCCAGTTGGCTAGAAGTCTGTGACTTCTGGTCTGCTCTGTTTGCTGCCTGACTCTTACTGCACAATCTCCCCCAACCCCACAAGCTTTTTTGTTTCCCTAGATAAAGTCCTACTAATTCTGAATTCACCATCTCACCCAAGCCTTGGATCATTCCTCTCTCAGAAGTTTCTGGATACTCTTTAAATTTGTGATAGTCCTCATGCTGTAGTAACAATATAAGACATTTAAAATAATATTACTGAGTGCCATGTGGTAGAGCACCTGCCTAGCAAGCGTGAGGCCCTGAGTTCAAACCTCAGTACCACTCAGTACCAGTATTTATATGTGTGTATATATATATTACTGAGTGCTCACTGTTCTACAGGTGGGCACACTCTTCATTAATTCATTAATCCTTTCACATCTATGTGGAATAAAAATTCATACCACCCTTTTATACACTGCGGATTATCAGCATTACTCACTTACCCATGGGGACACCACAGGCAGGAGCAGGACTGAAATGAGGACCTGGAAGTCCACTTTTTTTTCTTGCCCTCGGAGCTATCTGTGCTATCTCCCCATTCAGATCATGCAGTTCTGGATGATTAGTAGTGTTCCTGTACCTGGAATGGCACCTGCCCAAGTTCATGCTTCATAAATATTAAGCAAATAAATGATCAAACAACTGCCATTTCTCTCCAAGGAACTTCACCCACTTGTTAGATTCACATAGGCCAGGAACAAAGTGATAAAATACGAGGAAGATCCAAAGCTCTGTGAGCAGAGGGAAGGCAGAAGGCTGAGCACCATCCTCCAGGAAGGAGCCTGGCCCCGTGCTTACACACCTCTCCCAGGTATCTGTGATCAGAGCCTCCCCCTCCCTTCTCCCTGTCATTAATTATTACCAGGGAGCCACCCCTAATTTACTAGCTCCATTTATCTGCCTGCTTTGCCTCTGCTCCTCCTTTGGTGCCACACTAGGGGTCTCCATCCAGGTAGCCTTCCCCTACCCCCAACCCCCTGCCCATGGCCTCCACATGGATTGCACTGAAAAGGGATCATCGGCCTCACCAAGGACCATTCAGTTTCCCAGGGGCTTTTGGGAACCAGCTGGAGGTACTCTGGCTGTCACAACTGAGTTGGTATTCTGGGCATCTAGCAGGTAAAGGCTAAACATCCTACAACACACAGGGCAAGTCACTCACAGCACAGAATGACACAGCCCCAACAGTCAGCAATGACACTGCTGAGAAACCTGGGCCTGTGTAATTTCCTGGTCCTCAGGCCATGGACTCTTCACCTGACCATCAAGCGCAATCTATCCTAAGAGTTTTAAAAAATGCCCCGTGTCCTAGGATAGTGTCCCAGCAAATGCCCAAAAAGGAAGGAACAGTCCAAAATGGTAAAGGCCACACCCCTGCCCCATCAGCCAACTGCGAAGAACTTCCTGGAGCTTTGACCAAGAAAAAAGAGAAGCTTCTCAGCCAAATTAACCCTAAATGTCACCGAGGAGGACTGCTCCTGGCTTGCCAGGCCTGCAGGCAGCGACTGCACACTCTGGCACCACAGTCATTCGCTGTGGCCAAGATTCTGCAAATCATGAAACAAACCGCTATTTTCCAAGACTCATCAGGCCTAGAGTGAGGTCAACATTTCCTAGTCCTATACTGTGCTGAACATTTTAAAAATCAATGCTAGCAATAATTTTTTTTCTAAAATTAAAACATGAAATATAAGCAAAATAATAAGGCTATTTATAGTTATTTACACCATTGTAAAACAACTGCATTGACAAAATAATACCTCCACAAGGGCATCGATTTTTCTACACAGGCAGTGGTCACATG